GTCAGTTCTGCCTACTTCATTTCTGATACCTTACAAAGTACACAGAGCTCTGCCAATCTCCCTCCCATCAACATAACCCCTCCTTGTACACACGCAAAGAACAAAGGAGGTTGTCAGTCTGCACATGGTGATATGATTTTCTTTAAAAAAAAACCTGCTGGCAGATCATTCATTTCAGCAACAATCTTCTCATTAAATTGTATGTGAATTTAACATATTTTAGGTATATTATTTACAGTCTGTCATGTGTAGACATCAAAAAGCCCCTGAATTGCTACTGTGTGCCACCATTTAGGATATGATACCAGAAGCCCCAGAAAATTCATAGCTGTAACTCAAGAGGCACTTTATAGTATGCTCCCATACTGCTGCTCAGGGGCGGACTGACCACTCAGGGGGCCCCCGGGCAATAGGGGATCATGGGGCCCCCGTGTCCTCGCCCACACCCAAAAAAGCCTATGAAAAAGCCAATGAACTGTACCAGGGGCATCTCATGGGGCCCCCTACTGACCCTGGGCCCTCGGGCAGTGCCCGAGTGTTCGAATGGTCAGTCCGCCCCTGCTGCTGCTACAATCATGTAGGGTGGTGAAGGAGGTGCGAGGAGAGACAGAGGTGCTGGGTCAGCAATTAGACAGATATTAGACAATTCCAGAAAAGGAGAGAGCTATGATATGCAGAAGGGAGGTGCTGGCTTAAGTGACTGACACTTACTAAAGTGTCAGTTCCCTAGCAAGCTCAAAGGCACATTGCCAGTCAATAGAAACCCTTTAGGAAAATACTGCCTTTTAAAATCCTTGATTTTTTTTTCTTTGATTTTACATGTATTTTTAGGCTTTTGCTACCTACAAAATCTTCTTGATTATATTTTATTCTTTTTACAAAAAATATTGCAAGGCAGCCTACAATTTCCAAGTTTCCCACAATGTTTTTTTTGCTTGTATGCTAAAAATTTTTAATTTCCCATGCTATTAATGTAGACCTAGATTACCACCCCAGGGAGCAGATGGAACGCCCTGGGAGAACCCAAGCTTTCCAGTATAGGGAGAATAGACACACCCCTCTACAAAGCAGTGCTGTGCATCCTTTAAACAGGCTAAGTATTACTAGATGTAAGGCGTTGATGGCAAAATGACTTTTAGAATTTGGTATTTGCATGTCAAATTTGGGAAACCCATAGCAGACAATCAGACATAATTTTTTTACAGATCTCACTATTATATAATACTACTGTTTTGAGTGGCTTTTCTGAAGAAGACTGAATATATGACAAAATATATACATATATATATATATATATATATATATATATATGTTTGCACCTTTCAAGCCACCTGCATCCAGCCAACATCAAAGCATTTTGTTTTGGGCAATCCTAATCTAGCAGCTCGTTCACACCAGCCTGCACCCTAATACAAGCCATTTTAGCATGTGTACTGGTGTGCCTTGTGTAGCAGCGGTGAGGGGTGGTGCCTGCAATGCAATTCACTGTCTACCTAATTATTTCTTTTGTTTTTAAACTTTATTAAAATATCACAAAATGACATTCCATTCATCTCTATGCGCTCTTCATGGTGTGAACCAGCCTTAACAGTGTGTAGTAACAAATGCAATATAATGTAGGTGTACTGTTGTTTTATTCAATACACAGTATTTAGGAGAAATACAAAACATGAATGTAAAATGAAATGCTTATTATTTACAGTATGCAATATTCTATTCTGTATATATGCTGAAAAACTATTTTTCAGTTTAGCTCAGATTTCATTGTGGATTCAATGATAGCATGTAATCACATTGCCTTCTCATTTTAAGAAACATGACTTTTGATTCATTTTGTAATCAGATTGGCATCTACATTGCTTTCTTTAGTATGGTTTTGATAGTGAAATCCTTGTAGCATTAACAATATCCTTCATTGGAAATGCCTGAACAGAATGATATGGATGGGTGTTCACACTTTTGGCCATACAGTATGTATGATAGTCAGGTGTTATTTTTTGCTTATATAGTGAATTTTGCCTTGGTAGTCTGCTAATATTTTTGGGGCTCAAAGAGCCAAATACCCATTAGAGCAGTGCAGGTAAGTCTGCGCTTTTAAGTAAAGAATGTAAATGAAATAAGGTTTCTGATAAGTGCATTTATCTCTACTGTTTGCACAAATTAACTGCTGGAGTTCCCAGCTGTTGCCTTTGGTGGCATGACCAACATTATATAGCAGGAATCAGAAACAATATGGAGAGCTATTCTGCTGAGCATTCTGGGAACACTGGTGGTACACTACTAAATAGGTATGCATATAGATAATAGTGTTTCTCTCAGAGATGCCAATATATGTTTTTCTTTTGGGCAGACAATGAAGTGACTGAAAGTAATTATTTTCTTTTAATGGATCTAGAAACATTGCTTACTGATACAAGGCTTTATATGTGTGTACTTGTAGTTTCTAGCCAGTGTCATATGATTATTTTATTTAAAAATTATTGGATGCAGTATGTGATCTGCTTTATACGCAAAACAAATTTTCAAACATGAAAAACACCTTACAAGTAATCACAGTACTGTGATTTCTGAACTATAAAGTGTCCTCTGACTCCTCTCATATTTCTTTTGCTGATGTTAGTAAAAAAATAACTAGGCATGTGAAAAAGAGGGAAACAAATAAAGAAAAATAAATTTGCCAATTTTCCGGTCTGGTTCTGCTCCCGCTATCTCAGCTGCCCTAGGCATTGGACCAAACATACCTCGTGATATATACAGCCCAGGTTGTGGGAATGGGTTGCAGAGAAGGTGCCTCGTTCCTTATAGCTCTGCAATTTTTTTACCATACGTTTCAAGCTATTTAAACTCAAGTTCTTTGAAAATAATCTGGTAAGTGAAAATGACTGGTTGTCTATGACTTGTGGCATACTCAGAAAGGCTTAATTAGTAAATAGTGCAAATAACTAAATGTAACAGCAGTCATTTATAGCGACCATAGAGAATTTGCTTTATTTAAATCACCTCAGGATTTTAATAGCTGTTAAACAACTGTAGTTTTTATCATGCTTTGTTGTTTCCATTACTTGTGTAAGCCAGAATGTTATAGCTGAAGACATTGACTTCACCATATAAAGGTAAAGAGAAAATGTACATAAAACTAATTCATATAAAAATTTTGGTCTAGAAGGAATCAAAGGATGTTGAACTGAAGTACAAAAATGACTAGCCATTTATACTCCATCAGTCATCATTTTTAGAAATACTGGTAAAAGATGTTGGTTTGTCATCAAGTCCAGCTCTACCAAATGCTGAAACAGATGACAAGTGAAGCAGGGGCGAAGTGTTGAGAATTCCATTTTATAGTAACAGCTCAGTAATGAAACTTCCAAAATCAACTTTCAACCTTTTTTTTTTTTTTAACATATCCGGCTTTATTATGTTTTAACACTCTGTGTCACTATTGCATGATTCAATTAGCAATTGGCAATGGTCAAAGGGAAGTCCTCCCCAGTGTTAGGCTTCCTGACACTGTGAATTTTCTGCCTATTCAGTGAGAGTGGAAAATACATTTTCTGTATCTAAGCTTGATTTATAGAACCAGGAAAATCAAACTCATTCCACTTTCTTTGCAGTAATTAAATGTGAAGGCTCCATAGTTATGTAACTATCTTGGATTGTTTTTTGCATAATGGGTATATTCTTCAGGTGTCGCAGATCCTACAGCTCAGGCTCTTAGGAATGAGAAGGCTTTTAGAATCGAGCTATAACTCCTTTTGTCAAATTACTGAAAGATATCTGGAAGCATTATCTCTGTACTTGAGAAGGTTTGCTGTGATTCCCTGTTGTTCCAGAATGTTTGAAAACAAATTTTAAGCAAGACACAGGGGTATCTATTGATCAACTAGAATTGCCACTCAAAAATTGTATTTTTCATGAAATTGGGAGAATTCTATGTGCATCCATTGACATTATCATGCAACATCCTTTTCTATTTTATTGTGAGGACTCCAACAAATGTCCTGCACTGGGGCATGGGAGTAAGCATGTATGCTTATGATCACAAGAGATTATTTTTTTTGCATAACTGATGTATTATAATATGGTTACTATAATGCAGCAGTGGCTTTTTGTGCTTGGGGATGGGATAAGTGCAATTTGGTGTAGGTTTTGAAGTATTCTGAGAGATGTTCCAAACTATTTTTCCATGGATGAACTGGCAGTAAAGTCATATTCAGTTTTGTAGCCCTATATAAAAATCCTGGTCATGGATCATGGAGGTATTTTTCCACTCTGCACTGCATATCTTTTATTAGATTCCTCCTTGAACCAAAACAACCGCAAAACTACAGTGGCAGAAACATCGAGGGCAGGACGTCACCTTAAAGGAACAAGTCATCTTTATATGAAAACTCTATTATTCTCGACATTGGCTCTGCCAAAAGAAAAATAGATGAAGCATTTTTTTTATTTCTATTCAATCTACTGCTTACCAAGTGTAATGAGGTTTGCTCCTAAAACAGGACAAATTGGGAAATGTGATGAAATGTATTATTTTTATTTTATCATGTAATGAAAAGGTTATTATTAATGCAACATAGCTGGTAAGTGTATGTGAATATAATGATTTCGGTTGTGAACTAATCCTTCTTTCTCTTTAATACAATGAATTGCAGAAAGTGTTCACTTATTCTGTTACAGAAAAACTCTAACATATGAAATATGTAACATCTTGTAGGTTTTACCAAATGCAGCATTTGACACATTCACACATATTCTCAATGACGGGAATGTCTTCCTAATGATAATCACCTTGACATAGTAATGTAAAGCACATACACACTCATATTATGCACTGATCAAATGCGCAGTTCTTATTTAGTATGTCTAGATATCTAAACTGCAGACAAAAAAACAAACATATAATTACTTTCCATTCTTGTCATAGAAAAAAGCAGAACTTTGTATGGACAAGTTGCTGCATGTGCAAGATCTGTTATACATATTAACGCGCTGTATTTTTTTTAGAAAAATGCAGGATTTGTATGTTCAATTATACAACGCTTGCAGTGGCGTTTGACAAACCGCAGAGCCTCTACTGAAACATCACAATCCTGAACATTTAACATTTGTAGGTCAAAGCAATTGGCAGCCACGATCTGTAGTCCTTGACCTGTGATGCTTTCACAGGATTTAAGACTCAAGCGCTTTAAGTTAAAGCAGTTGAGGGCTAGGAACTCCAAACCAATGTCTGAAACTAGAGGGCATTTCCCAATATCCAAAGATTTCAGTTTTGTGCAATTTTTCGCAAGGTATTCCACCCCATGATCTGTGATGCCTTCACATCCTCGAGCATTGAGGTAGCGCAGCTTACTGCAGTACTTAGCAATGTAACGAATGCCCACATCAGTTATCCTTCCACAGTGGGCTATGCTCAGGTACCGCAGACGTGATTCCAATTTTGCAATCTCACGCATACCAAAGTCACTGACAAAGCGGCAGTCACTGACGCTTAGCTCCTTGATAGATGTACAGTATATCATGATATATCGCAGACCTTCATCGGTAATACGAATGCAGCGACGCAGGTAGAGGTGAGTAAGCTGAGTGCAGTGAGCTGCTATTGTGTGCAGTCCTTCATCTTCCAGCAAAAAACAGTCTGTCATGTCCAAAAAACGGATTGATATCTGTTTGCCATGCATAGGAGACAATTTAATAGAAGCTTCACGTGTCAAGCTGATGCAGGTCACTTTAGAACAGCCTAGAAAAGGAAAGAAATTACTTAGTGCGCAAAATGAAATCCGGTAACTAAACAGCGTTTTCTATTCATATGTGATATCATTTTACAAAGAACGTAATTCATAAGACATTTTTTATTTATTTGTAAAGGCCATCCAACAACCTGTACCCCTCAATGACATCTGCTTTTCACTTTCAGTCTTAAATAATACATCAGGACTAACGGCATTGATGTTCGGCAAAGAGTAGTAATTCAGAATAATCATGATTAATAAAATTCCATATTTCATCATCTGAGAGAACAATAATTATAATTATAAATTGATTGGTTACTATGACTTACTGCATGCAGACCCTCTATTGAAAAAAAGAAAACATTTTTGTTCTTCTATGTTGTTGTTGGAGAATTATTCTCACTTCCTGTCTGATGCAGTGTAGTCCGTAGAACAAGACGTGAGGGGATATCTCTCAAATGAAGCATTGCATAGCAGTAACAACTCAACTGGGAGTGTATCTTTTTTCATTCACCAAAACTTTAAAGTATCTAAGAACCCCAAAAATGTAATAAATTGCAACTCACGAGTCCTTAGACATGGTAGCTACATTAGTTTCCTTTTTAAGGCCTAAATTTCCTCACACTTCCTGTGATGGGAAATAGCCCTCACTCATTATACTGTATTAAAGGAGCAGCAGTGTTGTCACCCTAGGCCAGGGGTCTCCTGACTTTCCAAACAAAGGGCAGGTTTACTGTCCTTCAGTCTTTACAGGGGCCGGATTGTGTCCAGCGGGAAAGAAAAAGTCTCAGGGCCAACATCAGTGAGAGTAAACAAGGTCTCAGGTGTGGTGTTCAGTTGCATAGTGGCTGTGGTCACTAGGAGGAGCAGTAGCGTCCCATCATTGCTATCACTGGAAGGAATATTGACCCATCATTGATGTTAGTGGATGGATCAGGGTTCCATCATTGATAGTAGTGTCCCATTGCTTCTGTCGTTTGGGGGAATTATGCCTCACTTTTGGTGTCAGTGTTAGGAATAGTGCTCCAAGGGCCAGATAAAGGCTAGCAAAGGGCCACATCCGGCCCTTGGGCTGCAATTTGGAGTCCACTGCCCTAGGCTGATCTCTTGAGTTGGAAAACAAGCACCTCCCTTTTTCCTCATCCCCATTAAGAGGAGGAGTTTTGTAGTTAACAAAAGATAACTGGGAAACTGATAACATCATTTGCGATATTGGTTCATTACAAAGGAAGTAACGTAGAAACTGGAATTTGGATCAAAATGTGTTTTTCTGTTTTTGCTGAAAAATATTTTCAGGCTAAAAGTATAACTAAAGGCAAACTTTTTTTTTTTTTTTTTCAGTTTTGGATAGAGTGGACAGGCATTAGAACTTTGGATTTTCATTGCAGTTTGTGCCCCCATTAGGGAGATTCATAAGTTTATCCTGCTTACCATTATCATTGAAAGTGAAAGAAAACCCTAAATTTAGGGTTGTCCCCAGAAAAGTAATGGAGGGGAAATCTTCCAATGGGGATACTAGTTCTGGTGATCTGGGGGTTCCCAAGGTATTCCCTTAATTTACAGGAATTTTCCCTTGCTTTCTGGTTTGGCTATGAGACAGGAAGTGAAGGTAGATATCCTCAGTGGGACACAGATGGCAAAAAATAAACTGACAGGGGTTATAACCCCTCCCTTACTCTATCCAAAATAGATAGATATATATGCCTATATTTATACTTGAAAAGAAAAATCCAGTTCAGCCATGACATTTAAAGACTGGTATGCTGCAATATATTGCATTTTTGTTCTTGTGTTTAGATACATGCACATTTATATCTTAATTGTTTTTTCTTATACGTCCAAGGTTTGTCTAGCCAGTTTAGTTCTACAACAAACAACCTAAGCATAACAGATTATTTCCAGTCTTAAAGCGATAGTAAACTGCCTGAAACAAAAACAAAATAATGGGCCCACTGCAGGTTTAAGTCATAATATACTATTATGCACCGCATACTAGTACATTATGACAGACTTACCTGTACACGGAGCCATCCAGCACCTTGCTGTCATGGCTCCCTAGCGCCGCCATCTTCACCCGGTCTTCCTTCTGGGTTTGTGGGCTCCAGCAGTATTTAAAATAATGAACCATAATTATTTTTGGTTTAATAACCAATCTTACCTCCAAATAACTGGTGTAGCTATGGGCGCTGAATTCGCACCCAGTTTGGCTAATTTCTTCATGAAGAATATCATTTACTCAAAGGATTGGCCTGGAATTATCATTTTACCGTAGTTATATTGATGACATTTTTTTACTGTGGGAAGGAGATGAATTTTCATTACATAATTCTTTTAAAACTCTTAATTTTAACAATTTTAACATTAATTTAACTTATCAATTCAGCCAGTTTGAAATCAATTCTTGAACTTGTCATGAATGAGGGTACTAACATTATAAAGTACAGATCGCAACAGCTATATACCCATAGAGAGTTGTCATCACCCAGTATGGTTAAGGAATAAACCTAAGGGCCACTTTCTAAGAATGCGGCGTAACTGCAATAACCTTGACGATTTTTATTCACAAGCAAACATCTTAAAAAAGAGATTTATAGAAAAAGGTTATGACAGTACTTCTTTACAGCAAGGTATTAATGACATAGCGACCATAAATAGGACTGAGTTACTGTCTTCTAACAAAAAAGAGAAGGTATCTAAGGTATGCCCATTTATCACCAACTATTCGGTACAGCATAAGGATATTTCAAAAATCCTTAAGAAAAATTGGGAAGTCCTTAAAAACGATCCAATACTAGGCAACATCCTTCCTGACAGACCTGAATTAATCTTTCGTAAAGCACCCTCACTACATCACCATCTAGCACCTAACGTGATTGATCCACCTAAGAACATCACTTTTTCATATGGTCTAAAAAGGTTCTTTCCCTGTAACAAATGCGTTATTTGCACATGTAGTGGCACTTGTAAAACAAAAAATTAGACTTTCGCTTCCAACATTACAGGGAAATCCTATAATATAGATTCATTAATCACATGTAATAGTACCCATGTGGTTTATTTAATTGAGTGCCCATGTAAAAAACAGTATGTGGGTAGGACAACTAGAAGATTAAGAGACCGTCTGAGAAAGCATGTTTACAACATCAAAAGAAGTTTTAAAGAACATGCATTATCCAAACATTACAGATTTTTTTTTATCATAGGAACCCAGAGAGCCTCAAATTTACTGGCATTGATATTACTAAACATAACTGGAGAGGTAATCAATAAAAATAGAGAGGCTTCAAAGTTAGAAACGAAATGGATCTATGAACTCAGATCTTTATCTCCCCTGGGACATAACGTTGAACTTGATATTAATTGTTTTATTGATACCAGATAAGTTAATTTTAGAATTTTTGATTATTTTAAATTTCTTAGCTATCTTATTCTATATTTTTTGTGTATTATATTCCATTTTTATATGCTCTATGTATTCCCTTCGGTCATCCATTAGACTACTAATGATCAGATACTTTCTTATAGTGTTTTACTTTGCCATTATGGTTTATCAATTTTTATTCAATTTACACCCCTTGTTAATATCTATTATATTGTTATACAGTTTTTGACTTCTATTTTAATACATGCTAGTTGGGGCATTAATTTAGAGACCGAGTTATTAATTTTTTAAAACTTTTTTACACATTCTTCTATAACCCATTTTTTATCTACTTTTTTATTTTATATATCATAACCCTTATCACTCGTCTTACATATAATCAATTTTTATGCTTACTTATTCTCTTATATGTTTATTACCTATTCAGATTTTTAGATAGGTTTTACACATATCTTATTTTTAACCCTTTTTCACCCTTTTAACACTATATATATGTATAAATTTATAGTCATTTATTCAATTAGTTCCCCTGTGTCATTTCACACTTTTTTTAAACATCAGAATTTGTCCCATTCACTTTTGTCCCACAACAAAATGGTGCCCGTTATAAATGTTTTATTTCTTTAATCATAGGTTGTACATTTTTTAAATTTTTTCCGTTTCATTCAATTATACATTTAAAATTTTACCCCGTGATATTTAAGGTTAAATTCCTTATTGTATATTCTTGTGATATCATATTTTTCAGTTCGGTACTTTGTTGATGTTTTCCAGCCTTCAGTTTCTTTATTAGTGCTGCTAAGACATGTTGGGCTTCTCTAATATGGTGCCCGTGGCGCGCATGTGCGGAGTTATCTCTCTGCGGTCACGCCAGTTATAAATCAGCATAAGCGCTTTCTGCTCTGGGAGCTATACTCTGCGGGATGATGAGATAACACTGCAGCTTGATCTCCAATACTCAGGGAGCAATATTCTGCAGGGAATGCTTGAAAATATAGATCCACTTCATCAATAGCCACCACTTCCTTTAGATGTTCAGACCAACACTTGGGATATAAGAGAACAAAAGACTCATGGTGCAGTACCTTAAAAGGTTCTTATTTATTTAAAACACATTGCACTTACACAGCATGGTGTGAGGACGTCGATGACGAAACGTGTAGGGCGGGGCCTGTGGATGTGACGTTATTACATTCCCGAGCTGTTGGTGTCTGCGCATGCGGGACAAGGCTGGGTTCAGTATATTGATTGTTATCACGCTTTTTTCGCTGGTGTCGGCTGGGACACCATGCTGTATAAGTGCAATGTGTTTTAAATAAATAAGAAGCTTTTAAGGTACTGCACCATGATCCTTTTGTTCTCTTATATCCCGAGTGTTGGTCTGAGCATCTAAAGGAAGTAGTGGCTATTGATGAAGTGGATCTATATTTTCAAGCATTCCCTGCAGAATATTGCTTCCTGAGTATTGGAGATCAAGCTTCAGTGTTATCTCATCATCCCACAGAGTATTGCTCCCAGAGCAGAAAGCGCTTATGCTGATTTATAACTTGATCAGCATATTGCTCTGGTGAGTTTATTTAATTTATCTGGTGGTGGATTGGCACAAGGTGGATTTGTTGGACACTA